TAAATAAAGAAAGTGTTAGGAAATAGGGAAAAAATCAATTATGATACATAATAAGTTCCTTAAAAGTTTCATAATAAATACTTAAAATGAGTATGTAGTAACATGCACTGATTTATTGACTTTGTACGTGTTCTTTTAAAAATTTCTTTAAATTTATTTTTGCAAAGTTGCGATTTTACTCCCTATTTCCTATCTATTTTGTTTTTCCCATAACATTTTCCAAGTTACTGACCAAGGCTATGTTTGGAATTTGAAAAAATGAAAAGTATTAGGTGAAAAAAATATCAAGAAATTTCATTCTTTGTTTCTTTGGTTTTAGTATATTTCTTTTAAAAACACGAAAGAGTATATCTAAATAAACTATTCTATATATTTTTACATTATTTGATTTCTTAATCTTTATATAAAAAATTATATATAAAAAATGGTCACTACAAATGTATGAAGAGATCTGTACCATGAATATGACTCGAACTAATTACATATTAATTGGACATAAACGTTAACTATGGAGTATAAAATTTTGGACAAGACTCATTGGCCAATTGCCTGTTCATAACTGCATTGATCAACATTGCAGGTTGACTGTTAGTATTTTTTTGGTCCAAAACTAAAAAATTAGTACTTTTTTCCTATGGGTTGTTGCTAAGTTATTGTTATGAAACTTTTCCATTGATGAATTTAATAAAATTTAATTTATCGAAATTGAACTTATCTTTTTTTCTTTCGTTCTGGTATTTTCGTGTGTGTTTTGAGTTCCAAACGAAGCATATATTGAAAACGCATAAGATTCAGAAACAGGCACCTCGGGTAAGTCGGCTACACTAATCAAACAGAGAGCTGCTGACGTAGCATTGCACGAATGGATAGCGAAATTGATCCCGCCGTCTCTAGCAGTGGCGCCGTAAGGAGTCGGATGCCCTACGAAAAGCTCGTAAGGACGACGTAGTTCGTACGGCGGAGGTTTCTCCACCACAACGGCCGTTTCTGACTCACCCCCTCCATCGATGACCCCATTAACAGCAACTAGTAAAGGCTTCACCTTTCTTCCAAGTCCGGCAAAGTAAAGATGCGAACTCCGGGATGTCAATCCAGTTTTGTCCATGCTTGGGCCTCTGGAGGGGAGTTTCGGAGCGTTAGCTGAGATTGAAGGGGAGCAAAGCAACTCCATTCCGGAATTGAGCAGGTAATCTACTCAAAAGACCTCCGCTCTATATGATTCGTAGTAGGAGGAGGAGTACATACAGATTCGGAGTGTAATCCTGAAAATGTGTAGTCCGGCTATTCAAGACTCTCGAGAATTTGACAGTGGTGACCTGTAAGAGCATTCTGATCGTATGATTGTATGAAGCCAAACACGTGACAAAGAATGAAATGACATGACATGTGCGTTAAATGTATATACCAGGAATGATTGTAATACGCTGCTATTGTCTGTATACAAGAGTGTAGTAGTGTAATCGTATAGACATATACTGATTATTATACTTCGTTAATTAGGTTAGTAATTATTAGAGGAGGAGAATCTATGCACCTCATATAATTTTGTGGATTACATAATATCTTTTTATGATAAATGATTATACTCAATCATTGAAGATGAGATAAAAACATAACTTGATCATTAGTTCTTGAATTAAAAATAGACTCAATTGTCATGTTAAAAGCTATAAGTACACTAATTTCAAATTAACCCCTTACTATAAAACTAATAATAACACAAAGCTAAAAAAATGGGAGCATTTTTCATAATAATCAAATAACTATAATACTTAGGGTAAGCACTTTTGTTATATATTCAATGATATTATGCGGTATTACCTTTGTCTCGTACAAAAGTTTTCGTCGATTATTCTTCAATCAACGTAAAGTGTTCTTAATATTTTACTTTATATATCCAACTCGACAACGACTTTTAGCTTATTTATCAAAAAAAAATCCGCTATAAAAAATTAATTGATAAATTGGAGATTATAGAGACAAAAACTCATTCATTTTGAAGTTGCATAGCTTTTTAAACCTATTTTAGAGGTAAATTTAGAACGACAATATGGTTAATGAAACAATTAAAAAAGAATAGCTTGGGGTAGTATAGTGGATAGAAAGACATCATGTCCTTTTGTCTATTGATTCTTAGTGTATAAATTTGAAGGAGGTATTTATTTAAAACTTTAACAGTGGATCTAAATAGACTTGTTTTGTATGAACGCGTTTGTTTTAGGACTTCACCCATTATATTTTACTCGATCAAAAATCGCATAGTAAGCCTTTGAGCGGTTGAAGCTTGATAATGAAAGAGCTTGAGATTACATATTCTTTATTCTATTGAAATCCTCATACAGCACTTTATGAATCTCATTTAAATTTTAAAAGGTTGAGAATATTCTGAAGATAAAAGTTATTTGCCGTATTTTAAAACTCAAACTTTCTTCAACAAGACACTTTTGAGGAAACAACTAAATAACAAACTTATATATATCACTCAAAAAATTATTGTCTGATTTTGATAAAAAAAAACATTAAGCACGCTTTAAAACTCATGTTTTTTGTACATTTCGAACTTGAAGATCACATACTTTTGAATAACATGATCATTATTCATATCCGTATATTACAGCCGTGTTTGACCACAGATATTCACTGTTACGTTGGAATCATTGAATTGATGAGTGGGCTCTCGCATCAACTCAAGATTCCAAACATAAAATACCGACACTCAACACTTTAGAAATTCATGCAATTTATGATACTTTTGATAAAAAAAATAGTTGAACACATTATTTAAGGGTTTTTGAAATCGAAGGTGATGCTGCAAAATTCTACACTTACTTTAAAACTTACTTATGTCGTGACTTATAACTCCATTTACTTCATTTTTCTTACAAAAATAATAAAAAAAATATAAATAGCATGGGCCTTTTCGAATTTTTTTTGAAAGGAAATAGCTTATATTAAAATCAAACGAACCAAGTAAACAGCATGTCCCAAGACCTACATTTCACTCTCTCCAAACAAAACCTAAAGCACATCGGCCCCTTACGTCATGATGAGACATAGAATAGTCCACCCCGGATAGAGCGAGACTAATCGCTGAAACGGTGAGAGCAAAGAGACTATTAGCGGCTGAGTTAGCCTGATTGCCTCCCAACAGAAACCTATCTAATGAAATAAAACAAGCAAAAACCCTAGCCCCTTAGTGTTTGAAATAACAATAACAACATGGTTCATAATTAAACAACTCAAAGAGTAAAACATGTTTAAATAAAATAAACTTATGGAGCAACTGAATCCATACTTCAAGCGTCATCCTCCATGGCGGCGGTTCAGGAGGGGGACGGATCTTCATTCCTTCATCTTCTTCCTTCAACACCACGATCTGCCTGTGAGCCGCCTCCATCTCTTGGCCAGCATACCGCACGAGCACAACCAGTCCAAACACGAACATTCTCCAGATCTCTATCATCTCCCTTGAGCTGCGATGGAGATTCGCCAAGATCCTCCAAATCTGAGTGCTCCCGCGCTCCACCCTGTGCTCCAGATGAGAAAACTATCAAAACTCCGGGACACTGAAGCACCAAGAAAGCTATAGCGCCGCCCGCCGAAAACCTAGACTTGCTAGGACCACCGTCACCGTGAATGTAAGCCATGTTTTCAATAGCTTCGAAACTTGTTCGGTCTTTAAATTCTTCCCGAATTGTGGACAACTTGCAACAGAGAGAAGCTCATATACCGAGAAGAGGCTCCACTACGATGAGAAGAGAGCCGATCCTTGGGCCTTTTCGATTTATAAACAGATAAAAATATAATGAATTAATTTGTATGGTTACTGAAACTCTTCAACTTCTGCAAAGCATGAGGTCAATAACTTCATTTAACCCACATTCTATTTTAATAAATTAACATGTGATTGCTTTAAAAAAATCAGACAATCACATTAGTTTTATTAGTATTCTTAATTATATAAAATTATACTAGATGGATTTTAAAACATGAAGAAAATACGAACTTTTTTCTATCTGGTCAGATATGTTTTGATTTGAGCCTTTCTGTTATGATACTATCCAATTAAGGTAAAAATAAGCGATAATTAATTAGATTTAGATTTACGAGGCAGCTCTCAAGGCCAACCATTAATTTTCATTTTATTTTTGTGAAGCAATTAATTAGTTAGATTATTGTTGTGAACAAATCCAGTATCGGAGAATATTTTTATAAAATGTGAAATAGTAGAGATTATTGGTGGTCATTTCACCTTAATTTTATGTTCAAATAACGCACTTTTGTTTGTACATAAAATTCATTTTAATATAAAAATACAATTATCAATGCGTTTTTCATCAATTGTGTTTAATTTGTGCCATTTTTAGAGCCATTTAATCTCATTTTAATATATCCTCCTTTGATGTTTTAAATAGCACACTCGTGTGATGTCATAAAAAGTTAACTTTATTTTAAACATTGTCATCACATTTTTCTATTTTTAAATTGTTGACTTTTAAATTCTACTACCTCCATCTCTTTTTATTTAGCCATTTTTGACTTGAAAGTCAAAGATGATAATCTTTGATCCATTATTTTAACTAATATATTTATGTGAAACTTAATAAATTTATACTTTTATAATAATACTTTTACAAAAAACATTTTCATATCATTTTCATATTATGAATATTACCGTGTATAAATATATAATCAGTCAAAGTGGAACTTCATTGACTTGAAAAAAAATAAAAAAATATAGTATCTGGCTAAATAAAAAGGGAGGGACGGAGGGAGTATAAGTTTTAAACTTAATGCATTTTATTCTTACCTATTTGAAGCACAATAAATCTTGTTGAGTTAAATTTATATACATCTTCTCCTTACGAACACGGCTCAATTCACATGAATTGTGTTTCAACACATTCCCACAAAACGTGGTCACAACAAACAGAATTCACTAGCTAGCTAATATTAGATGCTAAACCTATAAATACACGTACACAAAAAACAAACATCCCAAACAAAACATTCTGCTATTATTATTATATGCATAGAAATTATGAAGGTGTGCGTAAAGAGTTCAAACGTTATTGTGAAACCATCAGAGCCAACATGGAATGGCATTCTTGAATTATCCGAACTTGATCAAACAGGAACCATGATGCATGTCCCCACCATCTACTTCTACGCCACATCTCCACAGCCACCAGAATCCCTCATGGAAACCTTAAAATCGTCTCTCAGTCAAGTGTTAGTCCACTTCTACCCGATGGCTGGTCGGTTGAATTGGACAACCAACAACAACACGACTACAGGTTGTCATCTTGTGCTCGACTGCAACTCTGAGGGAGTCATCCTCATTGAGGCAGAATCTGACGGCGTACTATCCGAACTCGGGGATTTCTATCCACAACCAGATTTTGATCAACTGGTTCCTAGTGCCGACTACTACACAGCTCCTCCCATTCAAAAAATGCCCTTGTTCATTGGGCAGCTCACCAAATTCAGATGTGGAGGATGGAGCCTTGGTTTGGCAATATCACATGTTGTGAGTGATGGTCTAGGCACCTCCAACTTTCTCCACCAATGGGCTCGACTTGCACGTGGCAAACCACTTAGTGTTGTCCCTTTTATTGACCGAGAAGTATTACATCAGGCCCACAAAGATCCTCTCATCCACCATATGGCTGTTTTGGAACATTGCTACTACTACAGTTACTACAACTTTGGCGGCCCTCCTCTCATCATCGGTGAATCAAGCAATGAGAATGAGAAGAAGAAGGAAACTAAAGAGTGTGTCTTAAGATTGAGCAAACCTCAAATTGAAACACTAAAAAAAGTTGGTGGAGCAAACTACACTAGATACGAGGTGATCACCGCCCACATTTGGAAGTGTGCATGCATGGCACGCAACCATAAAGCGGACCAACCAACTAACCTAACCATGTCGGTCGATATTCGAAAACGGATGGATCCACCATTGCACAATTCATATTTTGGCAATGCAGTCATTGATGTTGTGACCCATGGAGTCTCAGGGGAGGTCATTTCAATGCCATTAGGGCAGGTGGCACGTATGATACACGAGACCATTGACAATGTCACACCGGAATGCGTGACTTCTGCAATAAGTTTCCTGAAAGGGGTGACTCGTGGACGAAAGGAAGAACTACCATTTAGTGGGAACCCAAACCTTAATGTGATAAGTTGGATGAGTCTACCCCTGCATGGACTGGATTTTGGGTGGGGAGAAGAGATTCATATGGGCCCTGGCAACCATACCGGTGATGGGGACATTTTGATCCTTCCTAGCCGTGAGGGGGACGGGTCATTGCGTGTTGCTCTATCTTTTCAGACTAACCACATTGATGCTTTTAAGAAATGTTTCTACCAAGCTGCTTATATGGTTACATAATCAAAAGTACTTTAAAGTTTGCAGTCCAGGAGACCCGGTTAGAACCCAAAAATAACAATATGCTACATACTGATATCCATTCTCTGACCAGTGAAAATAACCTGTAATATTATTGTATTTCTTATGATTTATGAAACCAATAATGAATTAATGAGATTTTTTCCCATTTACTATATATGATAACTGAATAGAAGTGTGCATGTGTGTCAAAATAATATATACTCCTAGTCTCCCACTATGGTTCTATCTCAACTTTTCTTTCCCCCATCCTCTTTGTTCATCCTAAAATGTTATTTTTATTGTCTTTTTAAGATAATGTTATATTGTTATGTGATTGGTATTAACTCTTATTTTCTTGGATAAATCTCAACGACACAACTTTCATGTCCAAAAACAGTTTTGTGTGGCTGAGGGTGGACATACAGCCATACGTGGTAAAAGCCTGATTCAATTTAGATTGGTTATAACCAATGATTCTGGATTCGATTCCCAGATTGGTTTCTGCCCTGTTTTCACGCCTAATTTGAAAATACAGAAAACTAGATCCAGATCCACAACAGACCAGAAGGAGACTTTTTTTATGAACCAGGCCTAAAATTACCCAGTTAAAGAACCAACCAGCTTGGCTTCCAATTAAAAACACGGGATGATGCCTGTCCGGAATTGTGCCCACCCCTATTTGTGCCTCTTAGTCCTAATGAAGATATATTCTATAGAAATTGCCCTAAATAGGAGTAAAAACGTTTTGAAATTCCAAAATAGGACTTTCATGTTTTTATTCCCCAAATGGGAGTAATTCTGCCAAGTTTGGAAAAAATGTCATGTTTAAATCCTAGTAATGCCAAACTTGGCAGAAATTTACTCCTATTCAGGGAATAAAAACATGATAGTCCTATTTTGGAATTTCAAAACTTTTTTGATCCTATTTAGGGAATTCTCTCTATATTTTATCTACAAAACAGTTCCCTTTATATGGAATGACAACTCATACAAAGGCAATATTAAAGCAAGGCTTGCAACTCAAATGAAAACCTAGTCATAGAGTATCACACCGAGCAGTTCAAATGCTGAAAGTTATGGAAATGCATCTGAGATAATCACAGTATGCCTTAGAACGAAGTTTCAATTATTAAGAGTAGCTAAACCATTACTTCAACAAGCTGAAGAGATCTGAAGCAGTCACACCTCTGGTTCTCCCCAAAAGCATAACACAAAGCTCTGAAAAGACTCACAAGAATTTCCTATGCGGCCTGCCCCAGTCCTCATCTTGCATATGCTGTCAACAACAAAATAATCAGTGTTAAAGGCACACACACACATTGTAGTCAAGAATCCACATCTAATGCTGCATCCCGTGTGAAGGAAGGGTGAAGAATCTAGTTTCCAGAATAGCCAGTGAAATCAGCTAATGGAAAGCTGGCATATATTTCCGGATTAGCAGTGGTTTAATTTAGCAGACTCTGTGTTTTAATATTCCATTCTCTTTACTTTTTTTCACCTTATCACAGTGTTTCTTCTTCTTCTTCCTCACTTCATGGCAACCTCACCCAACTATCTGCAATTTCTTTTTTCTTTTTCTTTTTTTGCAAACACTGTCTGCAATTTCTTATCTTCCAAATCTTATTAACCTTGTCGTACAGCCTAGTTATGATAGAGTAGAGGCAAGCCTTTTCCAAGTTCAATAAAAGTAGAGAAATCAGGATCAACAAGAAATAGGGCTAAGAAGAAACAAATTCGAAATGTTTCATACACATACCGACCACAACAAAGGGACTTACAAATTCTTTGACGATGCCCTTATAGACCAAGATAGGCACGGCGATTCCGAAGATGCCAACGAGGGCAAAGTTGCGCCTTGTCCACCTGAAGTTGTGCTCCAGATTCTCCCGAGCAGACGACCATTCCTCGATCCACTTGTTCTTGTTAGTTTCCATCCCCCCACCCATCTTTTATTTTTCTTTCTTCTTCAATTCTATCTCACAATCTTCTTGGACTGCAAAATCAAGCAACGAGATACGTTGTAGAAGGACAGTGCCGCAGGTTTGGTAAGAAAATGATGATCGGTGAGTTTGGGTACGGTGAAACATATACTCAATTTCTCTAAATTTACTTTCAACTTTCCCTTTTAGTCCGTCCCAAAAAAAAATTTCACTTTGGTTCATAGCATTTCTCTCTTCTCTGCACAACTCTCCACCACACAATTCTAACTTTCTTAATCACCATGCCACTTTAATTTGGAAGAACATTTAGGGACGGAGAGTAGCTCCGATCAATCCATAACAGTAAAGTAAAAAGTTATTACTACGTACTCCCTCCGGTTCTGAAAGATCTTTACACTTTCCATTTTTATCAGTACCAAAATTATCTTTACACTTCTGATGGATAAGTGTACCCGGGGTATCTATCTGAGGGGTTACTGCGGGAGCAACTTAGAGACAAGTCAGAGCAAAAGTAGAGAGAAAGTGTATATTGATATTGAGCGTATTCAGCGTGGTTTACAAATGGGGAAAGATGTGATATTTTAAGCAGCAATAAATGCTAGATAGGGACACGTGTCATCATTCTGGTGGTCGAGGGGTCACCTCAACAGGGTGGCATTGGCATTCGCATATGGCCGCATTAAATGCAGTGGTTGGATGTGACGTTGGTACCCGGTACGTTGATCCAACCCATGTGGGTGGGAGATTCTGTCGAGGAGATGCCTTCGGCCGTAGATAATTAGCCGAAGGATATCGAATCTCGGGGGCCTCTAGGTGTCGAGGGCTCTAGGTGCCGAGGGCTACTGTTTTCACCGTCTTCTCCCAGCAACATCGTAAGCCTAAAACAGGTGTTCTGTGAGATTTTGGGGCCTTCGGGCAGGGGACCAAAGGCGACTGCGTGGGCAGCGTGGGCATCCTGTCTCTTGGGGAGCAGTGACTTGGGCCTGTTGTGCTTCCTGGGCCCGTTGGGCCTGTATTAGAATAGTGGGAGTCTATGGACCGGGGGTTCCTGGGCCATATACTCCATCAGGAGTCCCTCACTCCTTTTGCCGAAAGGTACTTGAGGAAAAATGAGTAAAATGCTTTTGTCCTCTAATGATGGCGTTTTGCTCTGTAATTTGTGGAGTTTGTGAGGAGTTGTTGTTTGCACATTTTGCCGAAGGCAGTCCCTCAGTCCCCCAGATTCTGGGATTTGAGGGATTGGGTTGCTGTTTTGGGGAGATTTTTGATAATTTGCCTTTTTGAGTTTTTCCTGAGGGGTCTTCCAGTCCCTCACTCCTTGAGGCACGTGTGAAGTGGTGAAAAGGAGTAGAGTAGTGTCTGCTGTTGCATGGGACTCCTCATCCACCGTTGATCTGGCCGTGCACTCCGTCACGAAGTCCGCCAGGGCTTGGCCCTTTATGGCAGGCCTCGGACGGATGTCAATGTTGTATTGGCTGAGGAAGATAGCCCATTTTACCATCCGGAAGGAGCTGGTGGGGCTCCTCATCAAGGCGCCGAGGGGTTGATGCATGAGGACCTGGACCGGATGAGCTTGGAAGTAGTGGTCTAGTTTCTTGACGGTCCAGACAATGGCCAGCACCGTTTTTCCCACAGAAGAGTACTTGACTCAGCCTCCCTGAGGGTCTTGCTAACATAGAAGACGACATGTTGGACGCCATCTTCCTCCCGGATGAGCACTGAGCTGATGGCAGTCGGGTTGACGTCAAGGTAAAGGTATAGAGTTTCCCCTACCTTGGGTTTGGAGAGCACAGGGGGTGAAGATAAATACCGTTTTAGTTCGCCGAAGGCCTCCTGGCATTCTGAAGTCCATTGGAAGCCGGTGGTCTTCCTCATGATCTAGAAGAAGGGTAAAGACTTCTTCGCCGATTTGGATAGGAAGCGGTTGAGGGCTGCCAGGCGGCCCGTCAACCGTTGGACTTCCTTCACGTTGCGTGGAGGCTCCATGTTGATGATGGCCTGGATTTTCTCGGGGTTGGCCTCGATACCCCTTCGGCTCACCATGTAGCCTAAGAACTTGCCTCCTCGTACGTTGAAGGTACATTTCTTCGGGTTTAGCCGAAGGTTGAACTTTTGCATGATGGCGAAGATCTCCCGGAGGTCGTCAGCATGGCTTGATGATTGTTTGCTTTTGACAATCATGTCATCAACATAGGCCTCCATGGTGCGCCCCAGGACGGCTTGAAAGACCCTGGGCACCATCTAGGTGTAAGTGGCGCCTGAGTTCTTTAGGCCGAAGGCCATGACCAAGTAGTAGAAGATGCATTCGGGAGTCATGAAGGTTGTTTTTTCAGCGTCTTCCTCATGCATAAAAATTTGGTGATATCCGCGGAAGGCGTCGAGGAATGACATGATCTCGCACCCCGCCGTTTCATCCACCAATTGATCAATATTTGGCATAGGGAAGGGGTCCATAGGGCACGCCTTATTGAGATCCGTGTAATCCACGCACATGCGGAAGGTGGGTGGTTTCTGCGCGAGGACTACGTTCGCCAGCCATGAGGGGTATTTCACCTCCTTGATGTGCTTCATGGAGAGGAGCATGGCAACCTCTTTTTTCACAAAATCCCATCCTCTCGGCCGAGAGGGGCCTTCTTCGTTGTTGTACAGGTTTGACCGAAGGGTCCACCGAGATGTGATGGGTGATATGATGACCCTTCGGCAGATCCCGGGCATGTCCTTCGGCCCCCATGCAAAAACAATGGAGTAGGCGCGGAGGGCATCTGTGATGCCGGTCTTCAAGTCTTCGGGGAGCTTGGCTCCAATCTTCACGACCCTCTCCGGTTTGGCCGGGTCGAGCGCGAAGTCTTCTACTTCCTCGGCAGGTTCAGCCCTCGACCTCTTTTCTTCTTCCTCCACGGTCCCGGTGATGGTGTCAACACGGAACTCGGCTTACTAAACTTCTTTGTCACTTGAAGGTAGCAAGCGCGGGCAAGTTTTTTATTCCCCCTTGAGTATCCGATGCCTCCTTCAGCGAGGAACTTGAGGCACAAATGCCTCATGGAGATGATGGCTTCGAGGTCCTCGAGGGCTGGTCTGCCGAGGATGATGTTGTGGGCGCAGTCGATGTTGACAACGATGAACTCCACTTCGAGTTTGGCTCTATGGAGCCCGTCGCCGAATAGTACCGGGAGGGTTATGACCCCCTCAGAATCAATGGTATCTCCGGTGAAG